TCTGGCCTGAACTAAAACAGTATCTTTCATCTTTAAGATACTATACCTTGGTTAGGTAAGAGTGTTTAGGTGAATGGATCTAAAAATATAGGATACCAAGGACATCTTGGTGTTTAGAAGTTCTTATCACACCTAGATTTTCTTTACTTAGCTGATCCTTATGAAAAATTTTCATAGCTTACAAGCTTATTTTATAGTGTTTCTTTTAAAAATTTAATTAGCTGGCTAGTTTGTGTGCATATGTGCTCATGCATATGGGTAATCCAGGGAATATGGGTACATATTTCAGAGTATGCAAAAGTGTCAGAGGACAGTGTCCTAAGTTAGCAGTCAGGTGTCTTCCACCTTTTGTTTTGTGACAGGGTCTGAAGATTTCCCGTGTAGGCTGAGCCAGCTGGCAGTGGTGCTTCAGGAATTTTCATATTTCTACTTTCTGTCTTACAGCCCTGGGATTACAGGAGTGTGCTGTCATTTTTGGCATTTTACATGGGTTCTGTACCTTTAAACTTGGGACCTCATGCTCAAGAGGTTCTTACTGATGGGTCACCTTCCTGGTCTCTTATACTTCTCCCTTTAATCATTTTTCTGTTTCACACATTTCTTCTTTTGAAAAACCTACTGGGCCTAAATTTTATGTAGGTGTGCTACTGCAGGAGTAGATTCTGTCTTCAAACTCTAAAATTTAAAACTGAAAACAAACCTTTAGAATTCAAAAGGTCATTAATATCTGGGACAAAAGGTTAACTATTACATTCACATTTGCAGGTTGACAGAAAACCCACAGAGAAGCTCAAATGAAGTGCCAAGGCAGAAATTAAACAGCTCTCAATTAAACAGGCTGCACTTGTACCTCGTGATGAGGAGCAGAAAATCATGTATTCTACACTTACTGATAAGCAAGCACTTAAGATTAAGATGACAACACATAGAACCAGGGCCTTCATCTTGTTGGAGAGTCCCCTAGGACAAGACAAAAGAAAAAGAATAATAGGTCATTGGTGATAATAAGACAAGTAGATGTATTATCTGCATACTATTAACCAAAGAAAAATAATTTATGTCTAAATGAAAAACTTACAGAGTATATATATATATATTTATAATATAAGATGAATTTATCAAGTTGTAATAAAAATGTCAAGACTAAGAGAAATGAGCAAAATTTAAGAATTGTGTACTTAAAAAATTACACAGGGTATGAAAGAGAAAAGTTCTTGTTTCATTGTCTCGAATTCACATATAGAATTAATCTTTGGATCTATAATTTTGTAGTTACTAGAGGGTTTTTTGAAAGAGGTTACTTTACTAAACAAGGAGGGAATATGAAGAACATGCTAACATCCTGTCACACAAACTGTGTTTCTACTCAGGTAGTTTTGTCTCAAAATCCCATATTAAAGCTTTCTGGCATTCCAGGCAGCAGTGTTCATCTCTACCAAAAACTATTGCTGTTTAATAAAAGTAAATAAAATTTATAGGTGACAACTTCTTGACGCATGCCTCCCCATTTTTAATTATAGAATTGCTGACCTTAAAACTTTATGGAAAGCAAGGCTTGAGATTTTCACAGCACTTTAACTACTTATAAACTATGTATAACCAAGGACTAAAGAAAGCTGACTACAAAGCCTCTGAAATTTGAAACAATGACCCAAGAACACGTACCAAGTAGCTCCGTCTCCTGCTTGTCCTGCTGTGTCAGCTTTCTCAGACTCTGCAATCTGGAGGCTTCAGAGATAGAACAGGAGATGCTTGCCTTATAAAGAATTCATTTTCTCTTTTGTACCTTTTATGTTGCTACACAAAATATTATTACAATTATTGTTTTACCATTTCTTCCGGGATCATCCTAACTAGTTCCCACAACATGGGGGGAGTGGTTCAGTCTTCAAAAGTTGACATTTGTTTATTTATTTATCTTTTTCCAGTGAACTTCATTATTATGTGTGCACATCAGAAAAGCTGAGGCTTATTGATAGTAATTAAAACTCCATACATTGGTCAATTGTCTCTTTCACTCAAGATATTTTCTTAACATGTTATTGCAAAACAGTAACTAGTACAACCTCCCTACAGATCCTAGACCTAGTGAGCATTTTGATAATTAACCCTGGTATGTACAATGTACAAGGTAATGTGCTAACATAGACTGTGATGCATCAGGGAATAAATGACAGTGGTAGCCTCTTTTGTGTGCATCTTTAGTTTTTCAAGGTAAAATAATTTTTGAGAATTTTAAGTGGTTATAAAATTATCTCTACTTCAACATTATTGGCATTCCAGGACATTGGCTTCCTCCCTTGACAGAAACTAAGAAAAAAAATGATAGCAGTCATGTCAACACCCTCTTCACTATTTGATTCATAATGATCCCTTATAATAGGTTTTTATATCTTGCTCACAAACATGTGCTAAGTATTGAATAATACAAAATGTGAGCCTCTGATGTCAGTAAACTTTGATTCCACAGCAATGTCAAACATCAGTAGAAACATTTTCTTGGAAGGTCTATTGGTGGACAATCAGATTTGCAATGCTGTTTTGTTCAAGTAGGGCATATCCACTAGGAATCAGTTCACACTGTAAAGATTTAGAGCATAGAGAAGGACCACCATGCTGTTTATCTGAAGGGATAGTTGGAGGCCACTAGACATAATGTTTCCTTGACTGCTGGGCTTTTCAATTTATCCATAGATTCCAAACACTTCTTAAAGCACAGGTCATTGGGATGAGAACAAGCTGGTACCAAACTGAGAGGAGATCCAGATCTGTAGGGATTTGTATAGATATTTTGCTCATGAAGTGACTGAGGCTTGGGAAGATATGTGACTAGATAGTTTCAGGATCTAGCCTTTGAACCTACTGCTGGTGTCCACAGCTCTTTCTCTTGCACCAAGATATTTTAAGTATGTTTAAATTGTTGAGAGAATTATTAATTTTTGTAGTGTATAAACTGTAGACTCTCTGTCATTATCAGGTAATCAATATATTAATTCCAGTGAAATTAGCTCAGGGTATATGAACCAGTAGTCATATATGACATTTTAACTATATTTATATAAAATGTGGGGTTAATTTTATGTGTCAAGTTGTCTGTTTTTCTAAATAGTGGCCTATCAGTTACTATCATGACTTTAAAAAAGATATGATTGTCATTTACAGAAATGTATGTGATGTAATCAAATTACATTATAATCAAGTTATATTATGTTACTTACTTGACCTTGGGGTTAAGAAAGAACTATAGAAATGAGGGCAGATTGGTCCTATGGGTTCTTAGGGTTTTTAAAATGTAAAGATGTTATGACAAAAACTTTAAATTTACTGGGGATGAGGAAATGAGAGACAGGAGACCTCTCATATACTTTTCCTTCTCTCAAATCCATGTCCTCTTTTTTCCATTAATTATTATTACATGCCTCCTACATGCAATATATATATATATATATATATATATATATATATATATATATATACAACCTGCTTAGTCTTTATTATGTTACTTGTATGTTTACAGAAATGATCATTTGGCATAGAAAACAAACTGGCGTGCTCTTCCATTGGGGAAAATTTCTTCTGCTCTTAGCATTTTTTTAGTTGCTTGCAGTTCTTTGTATAGGGTTGTGTAGGGTTGATGCCATGTTGTGGGTGAGTGTTTTCTGTCCACTTTGGTATGCCTTACTATTGTCCTTGCTCAGCTCATGCTTTGGCAGTCATGTTGGTGAGAATTTCTTTGGGAAGTACTTATGTAACAAGGGTAATTGTCTTTTCATTACCAAGTATAATGCAATTTTTCTGGTTATTTTGTTTTCAATTATTATTATATCTTGTATACAATTTTGACTATTTCCTGTTATATATGTCAATCTTTTGTCTTGTTATATGCTTAGATGAATTTATCATCCTTATTTATGGAAATTTTTTTAAGTTTTAGAGTATATTTTAAATAGTATTCCAATTAATTTCCCCTGTAAGTGATTGTTTGGAGATATACCATGATATCCATGACCAGAAGTACATTTAATCTCATATGAAATGTTTGTTTGTGGGTTTAAACACAGTACCATGTTTATCCTCATCCAGAGTCTATTTAAACCTCCTCTCATAAACAATATTTGCTTTCATGTGCCTTACTTTCCAATTTTAAAAATGGATATGTATAGAATAATACTATTTCTGTTTTTTAAGCAAGCCTTTTAATATTTACTATATGACTCTTAAGATTATGAAATATCAAACACATCACACACAGTAAACCAGTTGCTTCCAGAATGATTTATTGAGGAGAATCATCACACTGACAGCAGACCCATTTGGGAAGTCTGTATCAGAAAAAAAAAAAAAGATGAAGATTTGCATCCTAGAATTGCTAACCAACTGCCTAAGAAGAGTACAATATTCAATGTTGAGGATCTGAAAAAAATGACAAAAATTCAGGTTATAAATCTTAACAGGAAAAATATTAAACCGATTCATGTTTATACATTATTTTTCAAATAAACACATATGTAAAACTAATATTTTGTTTTAGTTAGCATCAAATATGAGTCAAGAAGTATTTTGCACACTATTCATGGGTGTTAAGCAATTACAAGAAAGCTTTAATTCTTACATTAGTGAGGGTTTCAAATATATATTCTAATAGAAGAGAATCACATTTATGATATTAACAAGGAAAATTTTAGAATACAAGTTTCAGAAAACTTTTTAATGCTTCAGTAATTTTTACATGTTACTTGATTAATGTTATAGCCTTAATTTTACTAAAGTATAATATTTAGAATTAGCTGAAATGACATATTAAATGTAGCAAGAAATGGGTTGCTCTTTTCATTTCTTAACAATCTAGTGTGGAATATTTTGCATTAAGGTAAGTTTTTGTTTAATAAGCCATGATATCCAGGAAAGTACTGAGATTGCTGGTTTTAAAATTGTCCTTAGATATATTCTGCTACATGACCTCTATCTGTAAACATCTGTATTTTCTAATACTTGCCTTCAGTGCCCACATTATTTTTTATTTTTTCTTTTCAAGATTTTTCTTTTTGGGTAACTTCTTAGACATTAAGACTATCTTTTAATTCATTGTGTACTTCTACGTGGCTTCCCTTATGTTGTTGCTTCTACATCATCAGTTCATCGGGATCTTCTTTCAGCAATTGGAAGATACCTGTGTCAGTGGTAGAAGAGTCCTCCTTGTGTTTAGGGGTGTCTACTATAGTGGTCACTACAGGAATCTCTGTGACCTTAGTTGCAAATTCTGTTGTATCATTATCACACAGATCTTCTGTTGTGTCATCGGTTGGTTCCTCCATAATGTCTGTGGTTTCTGAGGCAGGAACAATGAAGTCATACCTGGATTCAACAGCAGTAAGCAACACAGAATGGGTCTCTGCTTCATTCATAGTAGTCTCTTTCTCCATCCAATCATTAACTCCATCAGTTGATTCCTCATCAGTGAAAGTGTCTTCTGGGTTATCTTTGGCTTTTTCAGCAGAGTTAGTGAGTTCAAAAACAGTGATGAATTTTTCCTCATCTGAGTCAGTTAGTTTAGTCACAGTTTTGGGGCTATCCTCTGGAACAATCAGCTCAATTTCAGTTATGTTCTCTTCTGTAACTTTGGTTATGTCTGGAGTGGTGGCGACCTCTTTTTCAGTAGAGGACAGTATCTCAGCCTCAGGACTCAAGGAGTCGGTGACCTGGACAGTGCCATCATCAGGGTCATTGGAAGTGGTTGAAGAACTAATACCAGTTTCTGTGTTTTCATCTGGAAGTGGGGAGGTGTCCACCGAATCGGTAGTGTTGTCCTGCAAGATGCCAGAGAGCTCAGTAGTAGGTAGGACTTTGTCTCCTGTGTCAATGGTGGCTAAGATGATATCTTCTTTTGCCATGTTACTAGAAAAATCTATTAAAGAAACAGTACCAACTGGGGTTGAGATGTTTCCCATTTTCACTGGAACGAAATTTTCAGTAATTGACTCCTTCGCTTTGGAGTTTGTAGTTTCAGTTGGAGCAGTCATTTCTTTCTCTGGAGGAGTTGTTGACTTCAGGGTGGGCTCAATATCATCTTCTAACTTGACTTTTTCCTTTGTAGGTGTGAGCTTGTTGGCTGTAGTAGAAAAATCACCATCTGGTGTGCATTCATTTACTGAAGTAATGTGGTCTCCTTCAGAGGTAATTGTTGTTTCTGATTTAGGAACGGTGTTGTCAGCCCCGAAGAAAATGGCTGCTTCTGTTGGTGTTTTACTGGTCTCTCTTGGTGGATGAGAATAAATTTCGGGTGATCCATTTTCAGCCATGGGGCACAGGAGCACTGAGCACACTCTCACAGGTCTTTGCTCTGAGCTTAGTGGCATCCCTGAGCAGGTGAGCAGTGATCAGTATAGTGACTAAAGCACTGGTCATCATGGGTATTGTTACATCAACTACCCAGGTTATGACAAAAGCTTGCCCCAGAGGCTGTTTCCTGGCTGAAATTAGACATTTACTAGAATAATTATTAATATTAGAGGAAAAGATGACAAGATGACAGAGTTCTGATTATAAAATAAAAATCCACACTAAAAGCTTTATTTTGAAAGGACCTAGGACTTAACATATTTGTGCTTACAGGCATGTGCCTTCTGATATGGCACTGGTGCCCTTGACACAGACACACTCAAGCTTGCTAAGTATTCTGTGACTTTGTATCAGTAATGGAAACTCTGAAGGACTGATGTATTGGCATCTTTTTGAGATCAGTTATTTTACAAATAAGTGACTGTTCTTTGGGAGGCAGAGCCACATTCTTCTCTGAGATTCATGGTGCTCAAATGTTCAAAGTTTAAAAGCACTTTTGGTAAAGAATTAAAAATAGAAAAGATGATTATGTAGCAAGGCTTCAGTCAGCTTTTTTTTCTTCTGAGAGGGACATTTTATTTTTATGTAGGCATGATCAATAATAATAATAATAATAATAAAAATAAATTTAGATTGGTAAGGCTTTCCATATTTTCTTCATTAATGTGAGGAATATAGGTTCACATCATCATACCATCCCCCAGTGTCTTTGTTGGTATAGGAATGCCCTCAGTGTCCCAGATAAGGAAGTTGTAAGATAGGAACAGGTCCAGATTATTTGTTTTTAAATAGGTATCATTAATTAATAGAGAAATACATAGAATAAAGTCATTCTCTAAATTAGCTGTTGTATATGATAGATTGCTTGTGTGTTAAACAGAATTGGAACCATGAAGAAAACGGTCTTTCATGTATTCTCCAGCAAGCTATGCCAGATGAAGAGATAATTCCATCTTCATCAATGCTAAATTCAAAATAGCATTTAACTTTCAGAATTATTTTTATGGTTACATCAACCCTTTTATTACTAGTATTGCTGTGAGATACAGTCACATTGATTGTTGCACTCATTTCTCTAAAGGCAAGTGTTCTCTCATTATCTCTGCTTTCCAAGCCCTTCATGTTTGAAAGAAATACTTTACCTTGTATATAATTTGTTAAAGTTCACAAAGTATGTGGTGAGTTTTAAAAGTCCCAAAACAGACTACTTCCTTCAGGAAATACAATGTGAAGAACTATATTTCTTTGTAGATGATTGGCATCACAGACATTACCTGATTTAAAAACAGACTTAATTACCATATTTAAGTTTTTATATAACATGCATATTAGCCTCCTCATAGTTGGAGTTTCGATTCTAACCATTTGGTACACTTTATCTTTTCTCAGGAAGGTTTTCAGGTTACAACTACTGTTAAGTCTTATTTTGGCAGTGTTAACCAAAGCTTGCTCAGCTGATGTGTATCTTTTATTTGGGTGAATTTTGAGGTATTTGTCCAAGTGCTTATCCATTCCTATTAGCAGTAACTTCTTTGGGTTCATGATTAAAAAATGTCTTAGGTTGAAAAGTGGAATCTGTTAGCAAAAATGGTAATATTCTTGTTCAGTTTGTAGGAAGGCACATTTATGATTTCCTGGGATAACATCTTAGAAGCTTTGCAAAGCTGACATCACAATGACGTCCATTGTTGAGACTTCATCTGTGCAGAGAGTATCTTGAAAGACACCTGGAGATATGGCATATGCAATTTTCAAAGAATCAACTAGGTGACAAACAGTATCTCAACTAGACACCAGAATTTCTTTTTAGAAAGAGTTTATGCATCTTCCCATTTTTGTGTTAACAATTGAAAAGATTAATTGCTGATTTTTGTTTCCCCCACTCAAGATAGGCTCTTGCTATGTAGTCCTGGTTGTTCTGAAATTTACTAGGTAGACCAGACTCATTCTGAACTCACTGAAGTCCACCTGCTTCTGCCTCTCAAGTAATAGAATTAAAGGCATGTGACACTACAGACAGGGGATTTACTAATTTTAACTGAATTGGTTATCATTCATATAGGGTCACCAAAGAAGTTACATGTTCGATGTCTTCTTCACTCAAAAACATTCCCATCATCAGAGACACTAGGAGACTCCTCATTGTGGAGTTGTCTGCTAACATTTCTGTCTTGTCATCTTTCTACACAATGGTTGGAATGTTGGGCACATGTCTTAGGATGTGCTGTTCTCAGGAATCATTGTTTCATTCTTCACAAGAAAAATGACATTTTCAGCAGTGTAGACATTTATAGTAATTGTCTTTATATGTAACTGATGACTATAATATCTTAATATGTGTCTTCCTCTACATTCTAGTCAATAGACTTTCTTTCTCAGCAATGAGTTTGTGAATAATATTCTTACTTCTTGGCACTTGAAATTCAGTATTTTATCTTTCCAGGACCGGCTATATTAAATTCCTTCCCTTCTATTGTCTCTTGGATAAGATGAAGATTCTTTAGTAGGAGGTATGAATATTCTCATGGGGTTGGTTTCATGATCTACTTGGGAGATATCCTAGACTATGTGAAAGCTTTAATAGCAGCTTTTGAGGCATGGATAGAATCTTTATTGACTGGCTTATCAGAAATAATATATTTATTCTCAAGATATGTCCTGAATCCAACATTTTATAGAGGTTTTGTTTCCATTTAGATAACTGTACTATCACTATTACATTTGCATCTATAGAGTGACATAATTCACATTTGTGTCTTCCACTGTGGAAGCTTTAGTCATATCTTACATTGCAATAGAAGTCTTGTTCATTAGGTTAAAAATAATAGAAAATTTAATGAAGTTTTTCTTTGGTTTTTACTTATTATTGCTAGAAGATCAGTACCAAACATGTTGTCCCTAATGTTAACAGTAGAGGATATATTAAGTTTAATGTTAGCTGTACTGTTGGAAGAGCTAGTGACATCAGCTTGGGAAGCAGTGTAGACCAAAATCATTTAATATTATTTGATGTATAGTATTTTTTCTCTGTTGAAACAATTCTACCAATTAAGTGAATTTGGTCTGAAAATGGGCTCTGAAGATGCTGGTTTTTAACATTGTTGAGTGATGTGAGTTTTTTTTTCTTTAATATTTTATTCATTCCTACCTACCGCAGTTTCCCCTCCCTCATTTCCTCTTCTTAGCCCATCCTCCATCCACTCCTTCCAGTAAGATCTCCCACTGGGAACCAACAAAGTCTGGCACATTAAGTTGAGGCAGGACCAAACTCCTATCCCCTGCATCAAGGCTGAGCAAGGCATCCCACTATAGGGAATGGGGTCCAAAAAGCCAGGGCATGAATCAGGGATGGATGCTGGTCCCTCTGCCAGGGGCCCCTCAAACAGACAAAGCTACACAGGGAGATCTACAGCCAAGCACCAGACTGAGCTCTGGGAGTCCAGGTAAAGAGAGGGAGGAAGGATTATGAGCAAGAGAGAAATCAGTTATCATGAGGGGGAAATCCACAGAGACAGCTGAACCTAGCTCCTGAGAACTCAGGAACTTTAGACCAACAGCTGGGGCATCTGCATGGGAGTGTTGTAGGTTTTTAGCTTTTTGAATATCAAGAGAATATCTCCTTCAGTAGTACATTAGCATTAGAATGGGAGTTTCAAGCAATCAATAGTGTATATATAAAATCCTTAGAGACATGACACTTTCTGATTACAGAAGACAGGGTCAATGTTACCTTTGTCCTAAATAAAAGAGTAGACATTTTGCCTTAATGGAAGATACATTTCAGAAAAGAAGTAATCAATACCTGTATTGATTAAAAATTCTGTGTTTTTATAGGAATCAGTGAAAAACAGAACTAAAAGATAAGCACTAAGCCTTGGATATATGATAATAAATCTGTTCCATCTTCAGTTAAAACAGATGTTTTGGAGGTGGTAGTATTTGCCTCTATGGGAATAAATAACTTGTAAACAATTGGAGCTTTGTATTTCTTAAGAAAGCTAAGACTGCTTTTTGTAGCATGAATAGAAGTATCCATTGTGATTCTGTGTCTGAAAAGAAAAATGAATGGTGATTATTTCCTGTCAGAATTTTCAGAGAGAATTACATTAACATTTTTTTTTGTATTTTCTTCAAAATATGTTTTATCAGAAAGAAAATAGAAGAAAAATTCCAACTTTCATTATTAGAAAGTCTGGTACTCTCACGGTCATCTATGTCTTGGAAGACAGTGGAACCATTATCAAAGTTCTTGTTTTCCTCTCTAGAAGTTACAACTTACTTTCTTTTGTTTGTATATCTCAAGCTTTTTCTTTTGATAGATCATATAAAGCACCAGTTGTATGTTGTGCATGATTTGCATTTGTCTTTTGGGGAATATCTGAATATATTTATTCTAATAAAGTTATTTTTTGAAACAATCCAAAACATAAATTCTTGAAGCACATTCACAATCACTATCCTCCAGTATAATATCAAAGCAGTATAATATACTGGGTGGGAATTTTTCCTAAGAAGAAATTTCATCAGTGTTCTTTGAAATATGTGAAGAAATGAAAGAGAAGATAAATTATATCCAGGAAGTGAGATTTAAGGTCACTTTATTCTTAAGGAAAGCAAACTATAAATGGAATTAGTGTGATCAGTCTTCTTTCCAAACCTATCTAATCATGCAGCAGAAGAAGTACTCAAAAAGTAATTTCTTAGTGGGACAGAGGTTTTAAGATTCAGTAGAATCAGAATGAAACAAAGCATTGCATAAATTTGTATATTTAGAGATCTTTTGTATCTATTATTATCTTCTCCAGGCAGCAAAGACTGTCCTTCATAACTACTAATATTACCTACTGTCAGTAGCAACAAAGGATGAATATTCCACACCAAAGGAACTGCAGTACTAGATGTTTTCTGATTAGGGACTAACACCAATTTTAGTCCTACAGATTGGATATCTTCTAAAGTAGCAGCGGGGGATGGAGGGGGATGTTGCTA